CCCCCAAACTAACAAAAACCACTATTAAAAAAAAAGGAGAGACACATAAGACAGACTTTCAGAAGAGTGAGAAAAAAAAACTGAATGGGATGTACTCAATTTGGCTCCTTGGGCCCTGAAACATTATGATATTCCCCAATCTCCCTGATTTTTCTTTAGGATTCATATGGAGGAAAAAATATAGACCCTTAAACTTAATTTAGAAGTTAAATTCCACAAGGCAGAGATATTCTGGATTATTTTATTATCCATGGATCTCTAGTGCTAAGATCTGTTCAATAGGCAAATCCACTATTTGGGAAAAGCCACATTTGTGCTTATAGCAAATGATATGACATTATTTTTCAAATATCCAAGTTTCATGAAAACTAGAGGCTAAAAGTTATAACCCAAATTAAATTTGGATTTCAATTATCCACGTATGTTTCTGTCCTTTCCCAGTTCCAGGGCTCCCCGGGATTCTCCTTCTGCTGACCTGCTGCTGCCCACTCCTCACTATGGGCTCCTTCTGACTGCCTCTTCGTCCACTCTGGTGGTGTCTCCGCCATCTGTGTGGTAAGAACTCCCAGCACCCCATCCACCTCTCATCCGCCCTAATTCCTGTTCTCTTTCCAGTGTCTCGGAGAGAATTTCACAGGATTTTCAAATGCCACATTTGCAAACTGAACTGTCTCATTCTTAATTAAGTTATTCCATCTTTCCTTGCATCTTCTCAGTGAGAGAACTACCAGCATCACTCAGCTCCATACCACAACTGCCAACCAGTCACCAGTCTTAAGGTAATAATGAAATCAGACCAGGAAAAGAAAAACAAAACAAAACCCTGGAATTAAAATAATAACAACTAAACTCAAGACATATGCTTAGTAGAGTTAATGTGCTGAGCTTTAAGTGTTCTTACCAAATTTTAAAAAATAAATAAGGGCTGGGGCTGTAGCTCAGTGGCAGAGTGCTTGCCTAGCATGTGAGAGGCACTGGGTTCGAGCCTTAGCACCACATAAAACAATAAACAAAATAAAGTCATGCTATCCATCTACAATTACAAAAAAAAAAAAAAGTGTGATAATACAAACTAGTCAACTCAACTTAGCCATTCCACAATGAATACTATTTCAAAACATCATGCTGGGGCTGGGATTGTGGCTCAGTGGCAGAGGGCTGCCTTGCACATGTGAGGCACTGAGTTCAAACCTCAGTACCACATTAAAAAAAAAAGATATTTTTAAAAAAATTCACGCTGTACCACATTTGTTAATTGTAAAAGATAAAAATCTTCAAGCTGAAATTATTTTAAAAATAGAAGTCCTACTGGCCGTAGTGGTGCATGCCTGTAATCCCAGCACTTTGGGAGGGCGAAACAGCAGGATTATAAATCCAAATGCACCTGGGTCCAATCCCTGGTACTAAAAACAACAACAAACAAAATACAAGTCCTGACTGCTAGGTGCGTTCTAAAGAAGTCTGCATGCCATCCCTTCCTTCACTAAGACTTGTTCCCTGTCTCCTTTTTGGCAGCACTACCCTAGACAACCTAAGGTTCCATGTCAAAGAGCTTTTACAGCTCCAGGAAATGAGGTCCTCTAGAGCAGCCACGGAGCAGAGAACGGGTACTTATCATCATTACATTCTACATGTGCACAAGCAACCACACAGAACCACCTGAGAATCAGTTTGCTGTATGATTGCATTTGTCCGCCCTGAATTACACGGTGCATATATTCTAGGTAAAGACATTTTAAAAAACTGTTTTCCCCTTAACACACACCATCATTTATGAAACACTCTGACTGATTCACTACTTAACTCTAGCTGTAAATTTCTTACTAATTGCCTTCCCAAAGCCTCTGTCTGCCCACCCCCTTCTTCCTTCCTTTATACATTTTCGAACTTAAAACCTATGATGAAAACCTTCAAAAATAATAAACTTTCTTTTTTTTGTTTTTGTATTTTGTATTTTTGTATTTTGTGGTCTTGCTGTGTTGCCCATGCTGGCCTTAAACTTTTGGGCTCAGGTGATTCTCCTACCTGCCTCTGAGGAGCTGGGACTACACGTATATGCCACCATGTCTACCTACTATTCTATAATAAGGATTCCATTTTATTGTTTCTCAAAGTGAGAACAGAAAGGGAGGGGCTGGGGCTGAGGCTGAGCAGTAGCGCACTTACCTGGCATGTGTGAGGCACTGGGTTTGATCCTTAGCATCACATATAAATAAATAAATAAAATAAAATAAAATAAAAGTCTATCAACAATTTAAAAAGAAAAATATAAGAATACAGTTCCTTTGGGATTGAAACTTGAGAATTGCAGAATGTGTGGCTAAGGAGGTTTACTCCAAAGCTGCCATGCAAGATGTCTAAAGCTGTTTCTCCTGCCTGACAATAGATACCCAAGATCACCAAAACCACACTTGTGGGTCTGGAGTGTGTCAAGGGTGAGGACTGTACTGGGGAGGAGTTCTGAAAGGTGGGGTGACTGCTGAATACTGACCACATGATTCCAATTCAGGAGTTACAACTCTTCTTTTTCTGCACTGCTAAGGATCCAACCCAGGGCCTCCCTAGGCAAGTGCCCTATCACTGAGTTACACCCCCAGTCCTCATCTTTTATCTTGCTGAGCACAAGAACAAAATATCTTAATATACTAAACCAGAAAGAAAACTGACACATTTCTCACATAGTGAAGGAACTACTCCCTATAATTTGGTCCCAGGAGTAGGTGAAGACTTGAAGACACCTTTTCCAAGTTCCCTTCTTACCTCACCCACACCACATCTCCAGCCTCTGAACTGCTACACTGGCTTTTACTCTCACGGTATCACTGGGCTTGCATTTGCCCCTACTCATCTTACTTCCTCAAATAGACAAGCTTCCTTTAAGACATGGATGTGACATTTATTACTTTCTTCTCTCTCCCATGAGCTACACAAAGGAGTAAGCATTTTTTTAAAAAAGCATTTGTTGCTGTGATTGTTCCCAAAGGAAGAAAAGCTCTGTATTCAGAAAGAGTCAGTATTCAGTAGCAAAGCCACTAAGAAGGCACTTACTTCAGACCCAACATTTCTCCGCTTTGCTTTCTTTATGGCTCTATTCTTCAAGACTTCCTCACTGGCCACTGAAAATGTTCCCACCTGCACGGCATACAAATTAAACACAGAAAGATTAAGGACAAAAGGAGGTAAAATGCTGAACAAAACAGCAAGTGCAGACAAACTTACCTAATATGGCTTTAAAATACTGTTAATGTTAATACTATGGGAGAGGGCTTGTTAACAGAAATGGCTTTACATCTACCTAAAGCAGAAGATGGAGTGTTAGGGAAGGAGAAGGGTTGGGGAAAGCAAAGGGGAAGGTGTGGATGGGCAAGAGAGGGCAGGTGGATACCATCAAAGCATGCTATATGCATTTGGGAAATGTCACAGTGAAACCCATTAATTTATACGACTAATATGATTAATAATTAACAGAAAATAGTGTGTGTGTGTAAATTTTTTTTTTCTTGTGGATTCTACTTCTAGCTAGGTAAACCATCTATCTTCTACAATATACAAATCCAAACTTCAAATTCCAATTCAAAGAGAGGAGTATACACACAACAGTTTTTGAAAAGATAAGACCATCAAAACTTTGATGCCAATTCTTCAAATATGTTGGATATATACTGGATACTATTAATAAATGCTGCAGTCTGTCTGGGCACAAAATAACCGAGCCACCACATAGCCTTGTAGGTTCAAACAGCAACTCTTTATTCCCGAACTCTCACCAGCACTCTATACACACTTCCTGGAAATACAGTCCCTCCACAGGGCTCCCCACGCCAATTCTTCCAGGAGAACTCAATGGGAACTCCAAAGTAGTGGGCACCCAAAGCAGCAGGATCCGCCCTATTCCCGGAGCAGGGTCACCTTTCAACCATTCCCTCTAGCAAAATGCCAGGCGTCATTCCGACTTAACTGTGGCTCTCAACAAAAGTTTAGAAAAAAATTAAAGGTTTCTTTAAAAAATATAAGCTATCATTTAAAAGCAGAAAAGTATCTTAAACATCATGAATAGCTCATGGGGCAACCCATTGTGAAACCCAGATGCCTACATCTACTCTAATACAGTTTTTAAAAATAAATTTTATTTATAACACCCCTGCCCCTTTTGTTGCAGTGCTGGTAACTGAAATCAGGGCCTTGTGCATGCTAATCAGGCACTCTATCACTGAGCTATACCCCAAAGCCCACATACACATAATTTTTAAGAAAAGAGTCTTGGGGCTGGGGATGTGGCTCAAGCGGTAGCGTGCTTGTCTGGCATGCGTG